ATACACGATAATTTTTTCCGATGATACAAGAAGCATGAGTTATTGAAGTCGGGGAAATTTGGACTGCCACTGGAATATGAGGGTATATTGGATAGGGACAAGACTCTTTTACCAAGAAATTTTACAACTAAAATTTATCGTAAGTTATACTGAAATGTTCATGACTTACGAGTATTTTTTCTCGTAATATTGTTTAAGAAATGAGTCGCTGCTCCTTGTTAACGCATGCTGCCTGCACATGTTTTCCCCTTACTCGAACAAACAAGGTCTTGTAGAGAGTCTGATGTCATTTGGCCTTTAAAGAAAACTGGCTCTTACTTGTCATTTTGCTCAATTTTCCAACCAAACTCACATGGCGTGTCATTATTTGGGTTGGCAACGATTGCCTACACCCAAACTTTGCTTGGTCATATTTCACGTACTAGTAAAAACTTACTCACATGGCGCAAGCTTTATTACACTTTTATCTTTATATATAGCCAACTGTTGTCTTAGCAAATTTAAATTGTGGTGCGATTTATTGAACTTGTATTCCCGTGTGCTAATGCTACAAGATTACTGAAGTGGCTTGCTTTCGTCCTAAGGAGGTTTCATACCGACTTTTTAGCGATTTTACAAAAACTTGAAGTGGAATAAAATCCACTCAAGGCATGAATGATCGGCAGAAATTCGGTAACAACTGGGTCAAAAGACGAAACAGTGGCGTGAACTGGGATAAATCGTCTGTTATCTAAGCTGTCAATTGAACCAGTTTGAGCACATACTTCTTAATTTTGTAATTTTTAGCATCAGGTAGAAATGGACAGCCAGAACAAGAAAACCAGTATCACCTGATTTGATAACAATTCTATCCTTACCGTCTTTTCCACAAAACATAGCATCAGCATGAAAAGCAAGGGAAACCATTGTGGTATCTGCCTCTTCATGGTTACAACGTGAAGTCGGGCAGCTGATATCATCACTGTCTGACGGCTTTTAAATAATTTTCGATTTTGCTTTGATGTTATTTGCGGCTTTAAAGGCATCGCCAATAGAACTGACTCTTGCAAATTAAATGTTCGATTTACCATGTCCTTGTTTAGAAAAGAACACTATGGCATCCATGTAGTGCTTCTTAATTTAAGCATTGAGTTTAGAGTAACTGCAGTAGGTCTTACTAATGTTATTTGGTAAGAAAGATTATAATGCAACGTCGTTTGAAGCGTTCATTTTGATTGGATCATTTTTTATGGCATCAATTCACAATTGATGTTATAAAAACGTACGCACAAACGCAGACGACGTATGGCAGATTTTAAATGTATGATTTGACGTTGTTTTCTGTCAGTTTCATTAGAATGGAGATAACAATATTGTATACAATACAGTTATCTCCTAACTGGTACATGATCAACATTGATAAAATAACAAGAGTCTTTTTGTCTTTGTCTATTTTAACTACTCTTTGTGCAATTTGGTCTTTATGCCAAGCATGTGGTGAAACGTGCAGCATGATAAACTGCGTTATTAAGCAAATTCTCAGGCTTTATTTGGTATATGAGGTCGCCTGCTCTAACAGAACCATCATTTAGATTTGCTAATCTTCCAGCATTGTATGTAATGTTTTCACTTTCTATGAGACATTTTCTTGCAAATTATACACTTTAATGTATCGAGAAGCCGGGTCAACATTACTTTCAACCAACAAAGAATTGGATAAATCTGGCTTCATATCTGGTGCTTCCTTTTTAGCCGTGCTACTGATTTTAGATTCTGTTTACTTGTGTAGCTTTTAAAACAATACCTGTGATACCTAAATATGGCTGAATCGGTTTACGTATCATTACATTGATAGTTCATTGAAATGAATAAATAAATCGTCACGTCTCACTGCTGCAGCATTTAGCATACTTTTTTCTAGATTCTGTAGCTTTTCTTAAAATTCCAGCAAATACAAAATTGCAGATTATTTACTTGTCAACTCTAACTCCAGAGCACCTTTTCTTTGCATCGGACGGCGCCAGTTTTAACGAATTAGTAGTGTAATTGTCCATTACTTGAATATACAACAGATCGAACACACCTGAAAACCAAACGCAACATACAATGAGTGTCACTTTCACGGTTTAATTCAACAAACACGACTAAACAATAATACCCATCAACAACATAAATATCTCGCACAGCTTCAGAAATTCAAAAGTAAACAAGAAATACGAGAGATAAAAAGTACAAATGACCGTCGCAAAATTGCCTAAGACAGATTGTCACGCTGGCACGTTCCTCAGAGGAATCAGTCCGTAGCGATTCCCTCAAGGGACATCGCGGATTAATCCAAAAATAGTTCGTTTACATCGTGTGTGATAGATTCCTCTAAGGCATCATTAAATAAACGTAATATTTAAAGGTATCACATATTCCACTAATGCAGTTATCATACAATACTACATGTCAGAATCCTCTAAGACATCACTGTATAAAGTTATCATACAAGACTATATATATATATGACAGATTCCAATAAGGCATCATTGTATCAAGGAATAGTGTATGACAGACCCCCTCCCCCAATGCATCGCTGTATAAAGGTATCATACTATATTACATCACAGATTCCTATAAGGGATCATTGTACTCAGGAATCATGTCTGACAGATTCTCCTAAGGCATTGTTGTATAAAGGCATAGTGCATAAAGTTATTATACAATATCAATGACAGATTCCCAAAAGGTATCATTATGTAAAGATAGTCCCCAAAGGCATCATTATGTAAAGATATCATATGTGACCTGTTCCTCTATCTATCTTTACATAATGATGCCTTTGGGAAATCTGTCAATAATATTGTATTCCTCTAAGGCATCATTAAATAAACGTAATATATAAAGGTATCACATATTCCACTAATGCAGTTATCATACAATACTACATGTCAGAATCCTCTAAGACATCACTGTATAAAGTTATCATACAAGACTATATATATATGACAGATTCCAATAAGGCATCATTGTATCAAGGAATAGTGTATGACAGACCCCCCCCCCCCCCCTTCCCCCCTCCCCCAATGCATCGCTGTATAAAGGTATCGTACTATATTACATCACAGATTCCTATAAGGGATCATTGTACTCAGGAATCATGTCTGACAGATTCTCCTAAGGCATTGTTGTATAAAGGCATAGTGCATAAAGTTATTATACAATATTAATGACAGATTCCCAAAAGGTATCATTATGTAAAGATAGTCCCCAAAGGCATCATTATGTAAAGATATCATGTGTGACCTGTTCCTCTATCTATCTTTACGTAATGATGCCTTTGGGAAATCTGTCATTAATATTGTATAATAACTTTATGCACTATGCCTTTATACAACAATGGAATTTGTCATATGATAACTTTATACAGTGATTTCTTAGAGGAGTCTGACATTTAGTATATGATAGCTGCATTAGTGGAATATGTCATACCTTAGACATGATACCTTTATATATTACTTTTATTTAATGATGCCTTAGAGGAATCTATCACACACGATGTATTGTTGGCTTATAACTATAAACCAGAACAGTGTCGGTTCTACGTGACACATATCCGGAATTGAAATTCTGATAAAATGCAGATGTTTAACCAATTATATTGCTTATTACTAATTTTCTTCAAAAAGTAAATCAAGTCAATTGAAGTATTATACGACGGCTTTACGATTGTACCTTTAAATTACACAATTATTGCACGGTCAAATAATGCTAGGTGAAAACAGTGATTTGTTTGTGTTTTTATCCACAATTTTCAGAAGCTCTGTGCTTTAAATATAGCACTTATTTAAAATGTCCTTAGAATCTATGAAGTTCAAGAGTAACCATATTAACCAATTTAGTTCACAAATCATGTTTAGAAAAGGGCTAATTATGAGATTATTCTATCGAAACAGCAGTGGGGTCTTCGATGACAGTTGGATAACGTCAGTTTAGGCCGTTTTTAACGTCATTGGCACCACATTTGACATTTACTACACATATTTTTTTGAAGTTGAGTAATCGATAGACATTTTGAGACATAAATATTCCATGTGGTATTTAGGTAATTTAAACTCGTGAACTAAGCGTCTTTTTTAACATTCGCCGCTCAACTAATGTGATCTCAACGACATATGTTTGTTCGTTACGTATCCTTCCGAATTCTGACTAAACCGATGGCTTTCGATGAAACTTTTTATCATACTAATCCGTAGAATTTTTTAATAGTGTGCCAAAATGAAGTTCATATCAATTTTTTTCAAAAAAACATAATAAAAAGTATGGGATCGGGGCTTTTTTTCAAGCTACAGATTGTGCAAAACTGTCAGATTTTGTATTGATTATGCATGAAAAACCGAATTTTGTGTGATAGACAAAACTAAACGATAGAATTTTAAGATAAAATATGGAAAGATAGCTCATATAATGTGCTTTCTGAATATAATAATCAAAATAGGGTCACGGGCCTCGTTTTCTTGCTACAAAACAAATCAGGTAAATTCCTAACAAATTCCTTTATACAAGTTACATTATCTGAGTTACCTCCCCTTATATGGCAAAGTTTGAAAAAAATATCAAATCAAACAAAAGGATTCTGTATTTGTAAAAAACAGTTATCAAAATAAGAGTAAACACACAGTTTTCTTCATTTAGATGAACATTATTACAAATGTATTACAGTTTTCTCTCAAAACTTGCACATTTTATTAAAGATCTGGACCGATTGTTTTCTGCTATTTAACAATCCAATATGGCGGAATACACCCGATCTACCTTAAAGGCTTCAAAACTTTAATTTAATTGACCTTGACCTTATTTCATGAAATTGTTGATCAACATTAGCTAACATGATTGGTAAGATCTGATTTGCAGTTGATTTATGTCATTCAAACATGAATTGGAAATGTACTTTTGTACGTATCAATGACTTCCAATACATCATTCAGCATTATCAATGACGGTGAGACTTTTTGCATTATTTGCTAGTGTAATTTCAGATCGCGATGGCAAATGGTCTGACTGGGAATCATGGTCTGCATGTACACTCACTTGTGGAGCAGGATTGCAAACAAGAACACGTGCTTGTAGTAACCCATCACAAGCAGGATCTGGAGAAAATTGTTTAGGAGATGGTTCAGGAACACAGACGTGCAATAATGTTCTATGTCCAGGTTAGTTGTAAGCATGTAGTGTTATACGTAGGATCAGCTTAAGGTGCTACTCGGATCTTATCTATATAAGACACTAACAAGCAAATGCATATCGAAACAAACATTAGATTGTCATTTTTTTTTCTTCTTTTCAGTAAACCCATGCTGACTACTGTTTATTGTTTATAATGATGAAATTAAAGGTCGAAATGCGTGTGTGCCGAGGACATAGTGGTGACTACACGGCATTGGACACTTTACTATTTAAAAAAATAAAGCAGCCACCAAATCTCAAGCCATATAACTATTATTTAATAAAATTATATTTTTGTCCATCACCGTTGATCGTAATTCGGATTATTCTGTTATAGCCTATCGCGTGAGAAAAGCTCTGTGTATCAATATAATAATATATAATACAAAGCACAAATTACATAATAGCAATTACAGTTACTTGTAACAACAATATAATCATGACATTTACATAAAAATAAAATAAAATATTGAACACACAATACAATAAATGTCCTCAAGTGCCCTTTCCCTCAGTTCCATAGACTGTTTAATAAAAGAGCCTATATATTTCACCTGCTGGCTAGTAGTTGGATTTAGAATGTATTTCATATTATTATCAGAAAATCTTTGTATTGGGTTTTTAAATCGTTCAAAAAGACAAGTCTTAAATCATTATTTATTTTACATAAAAAAAAGAAATGGGATTCATCATCTAGAACTTTGCACGTATTACAAAATCTTTGAGGGCGAAGACTAGTTTTATGTCTCCCAGTTTCAGTAGCGAGGAAATTATCACTTATTCTAAATTTGCATATAAGTTTTCTTGTATCGAAATAATGGTATGTCAAATAGAAATGCTTGTTTATATTCAGTTTCTATATGTTTAAACAAAAGGAGTTTACTATTTTGATCAAGAGATGATATCTTAGTGTCATATATTTCTTTATATCTTTGCTCAATTTCGTTCTTTACTAAAATTCTAACAGGCTCTTTATTTGTTTTAGATTCATTTTAGGTTTGCTAATATTATTGTCGGACCTTATATGATTTACACATGAGTACCACGAGTATATACCTTGATCACGAAGTGACTTTGAAACAGAATAACACTCCTTAAGTAAATTAGATTAGTTTTCACTCAAAAGTCGGTCTTCATGTGGCAAAAAAACAATGAAGGGGGAATCTTCCTAATTCAGATATAGAGGCAATGTCAACCTTACAATGTTAGAGTAGATCTATTTCTTTACTTCATCCCCGAGCGGGGCTGGAACCTGTACTTTTCACTTCTAACTTCTACGACAACACCGCCTTGCATTGCGAATACGCCTTATCCCCTCCTAACTATAGCTGATAAAAATCAGCTTTCGTTTCGGGAGGTGTTACCTTCTCGTAGGTATTAAACAAGGACATCTAGACACAATACACGAAGTATATTAAAGTGTACAGAAATGTTCATCTGTTCAGTATAATTACAGGATGCTATTCTTTTTTTCGAAGCATACAATCACTATGAATTTGTAATGAGATATGTCTGCCTATGTGTAGTGACAACTGTAAATTATACCTTTTCCATCGGATTTCTTATGATTAAGAAATACCAGGCGTTAGAATATTCATAAAGTGCATAGAAAATCAATCTCACAATGTAAGAGTAGATATGATTCTTTACTTCCTCCCCGAGCGTGGCTGGAACCTGTACTTTTCAATTCTAACTTCTACGACAACACAAGAAACACGCAAAATGTATTGTGTCTAGATGTCCTTGTTTGATACATACGAGAAGGTAACACCTCCCGAAACGATAACTGATTTTTATCAGCTATAGTTAGATAAATGCTAGGCGGTGTTGTCGTAAAAGTTAGAAGTGAAAAAGTACAGGTTCCAGTCCCGCTCGGAGAGGAAGTAAAGAATCAGACATTGTTAGGTTGATTTTCTAGGCACTTTATAAAGGAGAGGCGAAAGATACCAAAGGGACATTCAAACTCATAAGACGAAAATAAACTGACAACGCCATGGCTAAAAAAGAAAAAGACAAACACAAACAATAGTACACAAAACACAACATAGAAAACTAAAGATAGAGCAACACGAACCCCCACCAAAAACTTGGGGTGATATCAGGTGCTCCGGAAGGGTAAGCAGATCCTGCTCCACATGTGTCACCCGTCGTGTTGCTCATGTTAGTACAAACCCGGTAATAAGTCCAATTCGGTAGGTCACATTCGGGAAAAGGGGACAGGATTGTAGTTACGACATTAAGAACATATTCGCTATCATCTGTGAAACGAATATATATATAACGGTCAACCAACTCGTGATGGCGTCCGTAAAATTTACGAAGGAATGATTTCACCTTCACCACTTGGAACACACACACACACACACACACACACACACACACACACACACACACACACACATATATATATATATATATATATATACGTCTAAACATGTGACAACTTTATGACAGACATTCTCCATAACACGTGGTTATAAAGGGCTAACACCATATATATATAATTCGTCTCAAATTTAGCCCAACAATGTTAGATCATCAAATTTTTGTTCTTCCCTCAGCGGGATTCGAACCCTTGCGTCTGTGACATCATGACATCATATCCAGGTGAAATCGGATACATGACATTTCACCTGGATAGATGCACACGCCTGATGGAGCTAGTTTGTCTAGCGAAATATTGCGTATATATATTTAAGATCTAATAGAACTTTTTTAATGTATCAATTAGCGTGTGTAAGTTATATTCTTAGACACATTTATATATATATTATATACATTACATAATTACTCTAAATATCAGCACAACAATGTTAAATCTGCAAATATATATATAATGAGTGCCTATAAATAGCAACACATAACATACAAATCTATTTGAGTGTGGATTAATCAGAACAAAGATTAATACAATTACACAAATGAAATTATAAATTGCCTAACAATGTTATTTTAACACACTATTTAGTATGTAAACATTAAAATGTTAAAAATATTTACAATGCGATAATAAATAAACGCAATATTTCGCTAGAGAAACTAGCTTCATCGAGCGTGTATCTATCCAGGTGAAATCGGATGCAGATAAGAAACTTTTGCAGCTCATTGTACATGAATTTTGCTGCCTTGTAAATAATTCAAAATTTGGATGAAGTTCAAGATTATTTATTTAATTACGAAATTTGTGGTTGAAGTTTGCAACGTCCATTGGCCAATATTACAGAAATATAAAGAACGATGCTGTATAATTTATTATTCTTTATCTTTCCTGTATCTTTTCTCGTCTTTTTCATTAAGCCCATCAGGTTCTAAAGTATGGAGATGGTGGATCCAAAAGTTTTCTCTTCTCCTTTTCGTCGTGGTGTCCCACTCAGTGTTCACTTCTATGATTTGGAAAGTAACATTATCAAAAGGATGTTTCTTTGAGCGAATATGTCTTGTGAGGGGACAGTTTTTTGTTGGTTTTGTACCATGATCGATGGTTATTTAGCCGAATATTAAATTTGTCCATTGTTTCTCCAACGTACTGAATGCCACAGGTGTTACATCTGAATACATAAATTGATTTCTCCGTTTTACATGTTGGAATTTGTGTAGACGGTATAACTTTGTTTTGTAAAGGAGCTGATGACAGAACTGCTACATGTAGTATTGGCAGCTTTACAACATAAGCAATTACTTCTCCCGCATTGTTTGTAGCAACCGGGAGGTTGAGTAGGTTGCTTTGTCAATACAGCTGTCACTAATTTGTCACGGATGTTTTTAGGTCTTTTGAAGGCCATGACTGGTGGAGAGGAAAATACTTTTTTTCAAATTGGAGTCATTCTCTATAATTTTCCAATGCTTTCGAACAATGGATGACACATTTTTAAAATTAGGATGGTAAGTGAGTACAAGAGGTGTTCTGTTGTCTCCTTTATTCTTATCCTTGTACTCCAGAAGTTCTTGGCGGCTAGTTCTGTTTGCTTTTTCGAAATCTATATCAATGCTGTTGTTATTGTATCCTCGAACAGCTAGATGTTTACGTAGTTGTCCAAGTCTAGCATTTTGCTTATTTTCAGTTGAGCATATTATCTTGATTCGCAATGCTTGACTGAAAGGGATACCACGGGAGTAGTGTTTAGGATGGCAACTTTTTTGGAGAGAAAAATTGATGTTTGTCTGTTTTCTTCGTATGGAGATCCGTTATAATGGTTCCGCTGTGGATGTAACTCGTAGTATCAAGGAAGTTTTTTTTCTCCATTGATGTTTCGTGTGTAAATTTAATTAAATGGTAGAAAGAGTTACAGTGTTCTAGAAATTATTCAGATGGTCTTGTGAATCTGTCCATTTAAAATCAATATCGTCAATAAATCGAAACCATGATAATGGCTGGTATGGAGCACTAGCCATGAGGCGTTTTTCAAGTTGGCCCATAAATATGTTGGCATATGACGGGGCCATTTTGTGCCCATACTAGTGCCGTTTATCTGTACATAGTGTTTTGTCATTGAAAGACAAGTTGTTGTTCATATATATATATATATATATATATATATATATATATGGGTGTTTTTAATATAACCTGTTTGATTAGACTCTGAAGAGCTTGTAATAAATGACACATCATCACTGCAACCGATCGATAATATAAGATATATAAATCTGCGTGTCGTGTGCAGAATGTCGTCCCTCCTCTGAAATTTATCACCTTACCTATTTTACAATAATTTGTAAAGATAAAAACTGAACCCTCAATTGTTTTAAGCAAATGGATACGTATATAGTTAAATTTAATTTTCTCATTATCTCATAAATACTTTTCCAAAATTTTTCTAAAAATCCACAAGAAATAAAATAAAAGTGGTTATAATATTCTTCTTCGTTACATACATAAAAAAGACCGTCGTGCATCTGTTTCTGTTTGAATAATAAGTTGTTTTGTTTGTTTTGTTGGTGATATGAATTGTAAAAGATTCCATCTATATATTATTTGCGTATTCTCTTT